TATTTAAAAAAATAATAAAAACTGACGTGAGCGGTCTTGTGCATCTATCACACACTCTCTCTTACTCCTTCATTATTTCTAAAACTAAATATGGGTGCTACACTATTTCTTAAATTAAATAGTGATTATTTCTGAAAACTAAACAAAAGTATTATTGCTATTGCTTAAAATGACCATTAGTACTATCACTATTTCTTAAATTGAATATCAACTATTTGTAAAACTGAATATAAGTACTACAATAGTTCTGAAACTGAACACAGATGATTCATTGGGTAGCATTGAAAGATAAATACAAAAAAATGCCTTCCTTTCTTTTCTTTGGGCCAAAACAAAACACCTTTCAATTGAATTTTTTTCTTTTAAGTCTGAATGGGCATCTGCATTTCCGCCTAAATGCAACTACGCAAACTCAAACACACTTGATACACACAGACGCAGCGGAAGAGGACTGGAGAATACACTCTCACGAGTCTCGTCCGTCGTCACGCACGCGCCCACTCTTTCTCTGTCTTTGAGAATCAGGGGAGCTTGGAGTCAAAAGAGTGAATGAGTAATGGCAGACTGAGTCACACCCATCCTTCCTAAGAATCATAACCCTAATTACCAGGGCCCAGCAACTGAAACTGTTCCTCCTGCTCCTCCACCTTCATTGCCTTTGGCCACTTGCTAGGAAAGCACAATTAGGCCGCTAAGATTTGGTTTTATATATTAATCTTTTTTGGGATGTATGGTAACATATAGTTGACTGATGCGGTGGGATTTGGAAGCCGGAGACCGGTTTGACAGCATGTTCGTTGGGGAGGGAACGAGGGGAATGGGAGTTGCACTCCTTCCAAGAGACTCCGACGTTTACTATCCATTTGGGAATAAAAAATTATGCGGGCCCACTCAAAATCAGCAATTCAATTCCTGATATTCTCGGAATTAGACTACCGAACAATAGCTAGTATTTGGATTCTGGGACAAAAACCTTCATCCGGAATCAGGTTTTTATACCCAAAACACCCTTATCTTCTCCTCCCTTCAACTTGCTTCTGTCCCTCTATTTCTGATCTTGGACCAGCAAAACTTCCCCAATGCCACCGCCATCACAGACTGGGATCGTTGTCGAACCAGACTCCGATTAGCAAGACTTCCACGCTAGGTAATTATCGCGCTTCAGTTTGATCTAAACCATGTTGCCAATGTTTATTGAAGCAGAGTTAGGGTTTGACAGAAATGAATTTGGAGCATAAACTTCAGGCAGCACCGGAGAAGATGAATGAGATGCAGATTCCGCATTTGAGAGAGAATACCTAAAATATTGAAAAGGAAGCAAAGATTCATGATGAAATCACAGAAATCGCAGGAATATGATTTTGAGTAGTTTAATTAAAAAATATTTCTTAATTTTTTAGGGTAAATAATTGTATTAGTTTTATATATACAAAATAATTGAATAAAATTAAAATTTTGTTTATGTACAAGGGTATTTTAGTAATCAAATTGCTTTTGATTCCGATTTAGGTAAATTAGTAAACAATTATTATGGAATCTGCATCATTCTCAATTTGATTCCAGACAGTTTAGTAAATATCTTCAACAGGAATATGATTTTGATTCTACCTCATTTCAATTCTTTCTCAATCCAATTCCTTTTCAATTCAATTCTTCTCAATTTAATTACAAGTTACTAAACGCGCCCCTAGTGAGTTTCGGGAAGAAATAAGGATGCTGCTAATTGTGTTAGTGGTGCCTTATCATGAAAAGTACTTGGGCTTACCTACATTTGCAGGGAAGAACAAAAGCAAAATGGTTCCTCATTTGAAAGAGCGTCTCGAGGCTAAAGTACAAGGTTGCGAGGGTGAGATTACACCTTTGTGTTGTTTTTTTTTTCTCTTGGTGAGATTACACCTTTGTGTTGTTTTTTTTTCTCTTGGTTGGAATGAGATTATAAAAGGCACCAAAGCTCAGAGCTTGGGTATATGGTTTCCCACAGCCTTTATTTCTTACTTATCTTGGTGGTTGGTTGTTCAAAATTATATGAGGTATGCCAGCTAGTTTGTTCAAGTTCCTTTTGTTTTTCCTTGGCTTAGTTTTTCACACATGCTCAATTGACATCATCTGGACCGTTGGATAAATGGGCAGATCGAACATGGAAACAACTACATTTAGTGAAACTTCTAATCCTAAAATTCTTAACCTTAATAACTATGAAGATTGGAGTTGTTGGGTCAAGAACTATTTGTTGGCCGAAGATCTTTGTGACGTTGTCGAAGGCACCAATAATCTTCCTAATCTTTTGGGCGTTGTCGAAGGCACCAATAAACCTCCTAAAAAGAAAGATGGTAAAACTGAATCCAGTGCTTGGAGAAAGAAGAATGCCAAGGCCTTATGTACAATCCAGAGTTCTTGCGGGGATGACACTTATCAGTTGGTCAAATGGAGCGAAACCACGGCCGAAGAAGCTTGGGATACTTTGAAACAGAAGTTGGGTCCGAAAAGCTTTTTCCAAAAATATGGAAGATTCGGTATGTATATGTACAAATATATGTGTATATTACACACACATAGGGTAAAGATTGGGAAAACCATATGATTGTTTGATTAAATGATAATCATACTCTTTTTTTTCCTCCCCATACTCCTATTTAATCATTTATGTATGTTCTTTTCGTTTGATGTATTTAATTTGATAACCATAAATAAAGAGTGATGCATATAAAGAGAAAAAAGTGTGTAGTTATCATTTATCTTCATTAATTTAGTTGTAAAGGAATATTTTGCCTTTACTGATTCAATTGTTGAGGGGTGTGTTCGAACTCCCACATTTATATGCATTAAAGAAATCTTTTTAGGTTATTTAAGTAAAAAATTAATAAATATTTTATTATTAGCCATATATCAATGGCCATTTTTATTTTGGATTAACTCATGATAAATTTTTATTAATTAAGCATCGGTCAATGATGAATGTGAAATGAGTTTTATGCATTTATAAATAGTTAGAACCTAACTCTTCTATCATTTTCTCTTGTTCTCTCCACTTTGGAGGAATGAATGCGAGATAGTTGGGAAGCTATGAGCTCATTGATAAGAGGGGTTAGGTTAACTTGGTTTTGATGTTGATTCAGACACTACATTACAGTGCTTGTTTTGTGGTTTTATTTTTTTGTGATTCAGATAGTGCACTACACTGTATGTTTGACTAGTCACATCTAATATTAAAATTTTATTATATACCGTTCGAATATTAGATTTCCCTAGTTTGACGATAATAAATCCGAAACTACAACGCAGAGTCTGAATTCGTATTGATTTATTTTAAAATATAAAAAATATGATAAAGGAAGTACCATCTATAGTTGGTGTAGAATCGATTGCTAACGTGATAATATCTAACCATAAAGATCTCCATTCTCTGATTTGAGATCAGTTCTTAATGCATATACCCCTACTGATTGTGAAGCTGGGCCAAAGGATGCGGTGAAACTTGAAGAAGGGCGGGGCAGTAGAGGTATATGGTCTATATGCTTCGATCCTCACATGTTATAAATCTATTCAAATGGTAGTCTCTCCTTACTCTCTGATTTTTGTATTCATTACATAAAAATGAATATTTAAGATCTATTTAATAATCATTTCAATTTTCAGTATCTAGTTTTAAAACTATTTCGTAACAGTTTTTCGTATGAAAACTAAAAACCAAAACTAATACATATAAATTTTGAAAAATCAAAGAAATAGTTTTCAAGTTTTGGTTTTATAGAAACATTACCAAACACGTTTTCAAACAAAATGAAAACTAAAAACTAAATGATTACCAAATGACCACAAGGAGTTGTCAATTAGTTACATGAATGCCTATTTCTATTAGTACATACCAGTCTATTAAATGTGCATACTATGGACTCGTTTGAATGTGCTTTTAAAATAACTGAAAGCGTTTTTAGAGAAAATGGTTTTTGGTTCCAAAAACATTTTCACCCAAATTGATTTCAGTCATTTTAAAAGCGCATCCAAATGATCTCTATATTACTTAAAACTACAATTTAGTAGTATTCTTAGATGGCGAGTTAAAAAAAACAGAGAAAAAAACTACGTACTCTTTTTTTTTTTTTTGTCAAGAAAAAAACTACGTACTCTTTTAATACATTTATATTGTTTCAGTTATTTTCTTTCCAAATAGTATTATCCTTAATTTTATGCCCAGTATAATATGAGAAAAAGGGCAGCTAACCAGTTACATAAAACATGGCAAAACATGAGAGCGATGCCGATGATAAGCAGAAATCTTTCGTCAAATGTGTGAAGTCTAAGCATTGGGATGATGCCAAGACGTATCTTAACGATCGCAAGGCAAAAATCGATTTTCTTCACTTCGTTGTCTCTAAGGATTACAGGGTGCCGATGTCGTTTGGAGAGATGCTGGACTCAATGGAAAAGGAGGACTTGGAAGGAGTAAAAGTATCAGGCGGATTTGACCGCGCAGCTTTATGTCCTTGTAGAAAAACATCCAGAAATGGTGGAAGTAGCTCAATCGATGGTTGATAAGAACCCGAAATTACCTACTATTTTACCTCGCAATATCATGGGATCACATCCTTTGGGAGTTCTTACTAGCACTCTTACTGGGTAGCATAACTGTAAGACTATTATTTTGGTTATGGTCTCTATTTCTCCGGAAGAGACTTGCTTGCCTCTACTTTTGAGTCTTCTATTGGTGAAGTAGTCGGAGAAGTTGGTGCCCAGGCTAGGGCAGCTGAGGGTGAAGCATTCGGAAATGCCAAGAATGCCCTCACTTCGTACACAAAAAACCAAAAAATAATTGTCTAAAAAATAGGGTTAAAAACGTAATAATTCTGAATTCTCAAAGACATTAATTCACAACCATTGGATAAAATATTCACACTTTAAGTTCATTTTCAGCCTTTAGATCAATTATTCCACAACTGCTACATCACATCTGGATTTGGATCACATCCTGTGTGAAGAAACACTCACAGATAGAAAGACAAAAACCATGTATCGCACGATCAAAGCAGCAACTACTGCGGTTGACAGACCCGACATGGAACCGCCATTTATCACACGTTCTCGATCCCCACAGAGCATACAAAAGGGAAAATTGGATGATTTTCTCAAACTCATTTTTGTCTTCCGTACAAAACACCCTCCTCCACGCCTTTTCTGTATGATTTCTTCATCTGAAACTGGCAATCCTGAAAATAAATGTTAGGATTTACACAAATTGGTTAGTATTATCCCTCTTTATTCAATATCCATTTTTTTTTGTCCCATCGTCTGCACACTGTTTTTTGTATCTATTCATCCTGTGGTATTTTTCTAGCTATTCATTTTGTGGCCTTAGGTACCTTCCATCACTCTCTCTCTCAAACATTGCACTGAGGAAGAATGCGCACTCATTCTTTTAGACTAAAAACCCAGAAATCCTAACTTTCAAGGACGATCCGGTAAGCATTTTCTCTAATACTCACTCTCATATTTTCTGTGCTTTCCTTGGCTTTTTGCTTTTGTTCAAGTTTTTTATGGGTTTTAAGTTTATTGTAGTCAATTTCGGGTTTTGTGGAGTCGGAAAATCGAAGACTAAGAAGCAGAGGAGGAGATCGGTGAAGAAAAAAAGGAGAGAAAGTAAAAGGAAAAAATGTGAGTTATTTTTTATTATTCTCTTTTTCCAAAAAGCAATTTTTGGATATTTTATCATTATTGTTTGGTTGCTAGGAAATTGGGTTACTGAGTAGCAAATAAATTTGATTGTTTTGTGGTTTTTGAGTAGTTGCAAGAAGTAAATTTAATTATATTGTGTCTACTGGAAGGTTGGAAGAACTGATATGCTTATGTATATGTATACATATGTTCTGATTCCTGTTAAACCTTGTATTATTTTTGTGTTTGTCATTGGCAGGTAGCTTTGAAAACATTAGATAAATTGGATAATTTTCTCGAACAATATTATCCTTATTTTGGCCAGATTTTTGAAATGGGTTTTCGCTAGAGATTTTCACTTTCTACTTCAATCTAGGTACTCTATGCTTAATTGAATTGTTCAACACGACCTTTTTTTCATATATATAGTAATTTGGAGTATTTAACTTGATTGTCATTTGAACTATTCGAAATTATTTATATTTACCAGATTTTTTAAATGGGCTTTGGACCAATTTATAGAAACCTCTCTGTTTTGTGTAATGTACTACTACGATTAGTAGTTTGTTTTTTGGTGGTGAATTTATAAGATTTGGAATCTTTATGGAAGAACAAGGAAAGAAAATCTGCAAAAAAGACAAGATTAGTCAAATTCTCCCACCGTTTCATTTTAAAGATGTTTACAGCTTTAGGAACCTACTTTTCATCCTGAGTTTTCATCCCACCGGAGATTGGCGGCTTTAGCTTCATTGTCGCTGAGACTGGTGGCCCATTGGTGTCGGGTACGGTTTATTGATACGTAGGAGTTTTACAGGTAGGTTGGTTTTTGTATACCTCTGTGTCGAAAGAAGTATGTGTATGTTGTTTGCTGCAAATGAATTGATTTCATTGCATTTCAGGCTTCATGACTTGAATCAACTTGGTGAGTTTTATGCTCTTCATTCGATTATAGTATATTCTTTTACAATGACTTTTAAGTATTTACATAGACAGTTTTGCAATCTGATTTTTTTTTTTTTTTAAGTTTTTGCTAAAGATGCACGATTCAATGTGGATGTGGCCCTTACAATTTTTTAATTAGAATATGATATATTTTAATTGTTCTCTTATTGAGTAAAGTTTTGGACGGTTTGGCAATGTGTAATTGAAGTTCTGTTTGTCATTGTATTGATGTTGCAGTTTGCTTACTTGTCAAAGCTTTTAACATGTTTCGGAAGTGATACACATGGAGAATACCAGTGGTTACACATTCCAGGTTTGAGCATTCGCTTGCTGTCTATTTGCCATACATGACGACAAAGAAAGCCAGCAAATTTTCAAGTCATGTTCGCTGATTAGGATTGGATTAGTCTTGGGTTAAGTAGAATTTGATTGAAGAGACTAACATTAAGTATTTGTGGATTAATTTTCCCATCGTTAGATTTTTTTTGTATGTAGAGAAAGGTTTCTGGCTCTTATATACCTAACTATTAGCCATTTATTCGTATTATTGCTTTGTTCCAAATAAGTAATGCTTTCAATGCCATTTACAGATAATAAACAATTAAATTACAAGCATCTATTTGCATTTTTGGACATATATTATGCACTTAATTTACTATGTCATTTTGGTTTTGGCTTTTACTTTGCCTTACTAAATTACATTAATTTTAGAGCATATTAAGCAACTTTTAACTATCACAATAGTTACGTAAAGAGATGAAGACCTATCCAGAAAAATGCACATTTTGACATAAAACCGTGAACATCATTAAGGTATCTTATCCATGAATATTTATTCTATCTATATCCTCATGAACTTAGTTTATCTTTTCCACTTTCTTCATAACACTACATTAGGGGAGCCTCATGTTCCTTATTATCATTAAAAACATATGTGTGATACATGTAATGATCCTTATTATCAATAAGACTTAGATCTTATCCAACAATTATACATTCAAATTCCAGCCAAAAATTGGAATCCCCAATCTAACCAACTCAACATACAGGTCTACAAAAATAGAACAAATTATAGTTTTAATCAACTCATCTTTAACAGATTTTGGTAAAATAAAGTGTTCAAAGAGAATCCAATATGTAGTGAGCTGTATTTTGTGGTATTGTGAGGATAAGATGATATATATGCCTCCGTTTTTTCTCAACAGGAAACTAAGATTGTATGATGCTGTTGAAGACGCCAACATAAATGCAAAGAAATAAGAGGGACAAATAAAGAATAGAGGGTAAATACATTAGCTCCCTTCGATTCTGTTAGTTGGTACTTTTCTCCTATTTTTCATTTTTTTTATGGACAAATACATATTCATCATTCCTATATACAATCAGAATAACTATGTATTTCATGTATCACCATTCTCTTTGCCTGAAATCTTATTTGGATGGTCCTGCTTATGTATGAAGTTCTTTCTTATATGATGAATGATTTCCTAGCCTATTTTGTGTTTCATTGCACTTTAGCGTTAGGTGTAAGAAAACACACAACTTTTTTTTTTCTTTCCACCTCAAGTGACAAATTTGTGAACAACCATTAATTGAAAAAAAAAGGCTATTTTCATGGCCTGACCTCAAATGAATTTGTATTAAATTAAAAGCCAAAATTTGCACACCACTTAAATTGGCACAAATTCAGCATTTGTACTTGGCTCCAAGAACCTACTTTGGCCTAATTTTTTAGAAATACCCCGTGTTTTTACATACGCAAAACATCTTAAAGCAAAACCATTTTTAGAGGCGCGTACCAAACATAACAATAGATAAGATCCCAATATATTTTAACTATCACAATAGTTAGGTAAATAGATGAAGACCTATACACAAAATGTAGTATACAAAGAAGTCTTGCTTCATTCCAGCTAATTATGGTGATTCCTAATAGGTAACAACTTTATTAACGATAACCTTTCAATATGCATTTCTCACTTATGAATTAACTCTTTTTGTTTGATTTTTAATTTTCTCACAATTGTTTGTAGATTGGCAATGAAAATTTGAAGCGTCAATCAGGAACAAATGGGTGGAAATTGCAGCATTGATGTCAATTTTCTTTTCAAAATAAACAATGACATATAGACTTTATGGGTATTGTGAATAATGTAAATATTGTGATCTAGGTTTTATATTTTGACATTTAAGTTGTTTTGTATTTTGCTACGAGTACTTAATGTTTTCATATACTCTTTTTTTATTCACATCTACTTACTATTGTTCATGAACTTTAGGTAGGAACTTGCATCCAAAATCCCATGTTGTTTGACAATTACATGAATAACATTTAAATCATTACTTTACGCAAAGTGAAAACGAAAAACATGACAACTTTTTAGGACGTGCATGATAAAAAAAAAAAGTTCCTCTTTGCACAATACATTTAAAATATATCTTGACAATTACAATGAAAAAAAATAACTATACCTTTAGGGGCGCGTAGCGCCCGTGATGCAAAAATGCCTCTCGCACGCACGTTAGTGCGTGCGGAGAGGCTAGTATATATATAAGACCAATCGTTAATTTTTATTTATTTTTTATTTATATATATATATATATATATATATATATATATATATATATATATAAAGGGAGAATGCCAGTTTGGTGAAGCATTTAGAAATGCCAAAAAAGTCTCTTTGTTTTCTTCACAATCAAAGTCCAAAAAATCCCAGAATCGAGGACAAAAACGTAAAAAAGAATTTAACTTATCATAAACTGTATTGGAAACAAAACATGGTAATTAAAAAAATCATAATAATTATCCTCTAAAAGTTAGCAATTATGGAGAGCAGTTAGAAAGCAAGAAGGAGAGTTTGGTGTCTCAAGGCTTCACCAAAAAAATTTGGACAAAAAAGCCCCCCAAACAAAAAAAATCAAAACTGGCTGAAAAAAGAAACAAATTTGCAAGGGTAATTTTGTCATAAAAAATAAAATAAAAACTGAAATAATAAAAAAAAAACAAACTGGATTAAAGCCACGTGGGAAGAAGTTTTGCGGAAAAAGAGACAAATGGTAAATACAAACAGTTAAAACCAGATGAATTTCACTCCACTCCATTTGCACGATGCACTTGCCACCTATAATTCCGGATGATTTTCTCTCTTAATAATAAAAAATCAATAAAAAACATTAATTAAATAATTAAAAACACCACGTTTATAAGATTGAGAATCCTCTCCAGATACCTCATTCAAATAAAACTGTAAATTCAAAATTTGTTTTATTTGGAAAAAAAAAAAAGGCCCGTGCCTCCTCTATTTTAGGAGGGAGAGATATTAATATTTCACAAAAATATATTAAAAAATAAGAAACCAACCAACATGGGAGAATCCTACTTATCCTATCATTCTTCTCTCCTTGAATTTCTTTTATTTAATCAATTTCAACTCCCGTTAGATCAAAATTTCCATCCACTACCAAGCAGTAACTCCCCATATTCAGGTACTTACAGTTTACAAATTTCACTTCAATACCTTTCATATGCTCAGCCAAGGAAAAATTTTCTAAACGGCAAATGAACAAGATGTTCAAAATGGTGTCATCAGTTCCAAATTCAGAGAGAACCATGAACAACCGTAGAAACAAAAACTACCCACATACCAGAAGATAAATGCAAAAATGATATTGCGTTCAACAGTGGTGAGTGTGTTAGAACCATGAACAACCGTAGAAACAAAAACTACCCACTCCTCTTCTATTTTCGGAGAAAATATTAATCTAACAAAATTATATTTAAAAAAAATCTAAGAAATTTAAAAATGAGATAAAAAGAATTAATATCTCACAAAAATTATATATTTATATATAGATATATACGAAACCAACGTGGGAGAAAGAAAGGGGTAGAGGTTGCCGTGAGTTTTCAAAAAGGAGTGTAATTCACCCACTACAAACACTAACTTCCCAGTTCGTAAAATCCCATTTTTTCCGTTTCTACTCATTTTCCCATATCCAAATTCAAATGTTCAAATTTTCCCCTCAGTTATGTAACTGCTATCAAGAGTTGTTGCTTGGTATTACAGACTCTCACACTCCAACGTGGGATAAAACGGGTTTAAGCAATGTTCGAGTCATCATTCTTCTATTTTTTTTCAAATTTTTCGCTTTTTTTGCTTTGCCATTCTTCTGTCTCTCCCTCTCCCTCTCCCCAAGCGTAAAAAGGAAATTAATCTGGGTGTAAGCTTCTTTCTTTTCACTTCCACAGGTTTTCGCCTTTGAAACGTATATGCTATAGCTTTTGTGGTTAAAATCTTGGTGCTTTTTATTTCAATTTTCTTATTCTTTCTCTCTCCTTTTTGTTATAGGGTTAAGACGATTCTATTAGGCTCCAAAGTTCAAAAGTTTGAGTACCTTGGGTAAATCTCAATCTAAATTTACCATTTCAGTTTTTAGGTTTTTAGGTTTTTTTATGGTTTATCTTTTAGGTGATGAATTTGATGCGGTCTACTGCAACTTTCAGGATGTATATATGAGTTTGTATTTAGTATTTCTAAGTCAATTTTAGTTTTTTAAACTTATTCCTTTGAAATTTCCATTGTGTGATTTTTAAATTTTGGTTAGATTATGAGTTTCAATTTTGATTATCTTGATGTCCCATACGTGTGCTATGGAAATTAAAAAAAAATTATTTGTTTTTCATTCTCAGGATATTTACAAGAATACCCACAAAAAAATAAAGAAGGAACTACCTATTGATAAGATCCCAAACAGATGTGTCTCTATTTTTACACCTGGTTGGGAGATATATGTCGGAGTAAAAACTACTGATCTAAGCTAACTGATTCTCAAAGAGTGGAAAAAAGAAGAAGCATGAGAAGTATGTATTCTAAATTCTTTAATAAATTTGTTACAAAATATTCTAACATTATATGTACCTTCAATATATAGGTGGCGCATGAAAAAGGCTGTAGAAGAATTAAAACCTTCAACAACTCCTCGCATCATACTAATTTGGAATAAAGTCCAACAAATTAGGTACAACACCATTTCTTACCTATTTATTTTTAATGGCATTGTCTATATCATTCTACAAATTAATTATCTCGAATTATAAAAAAAAACAATTTATGGGTGCAGGAAAAAGATTAATAGTGACCAAACAACTTTTCTAAATACGGTAAGTATTCTCTTATTTTCATACGGAAGTATACTGGAAATTCAAATTGCTTTCAATTTTCAAATAGAAATAAAATTGCATTTTTTTGTCAGTTTTACAAGCATCGCACCCGTCGCAAAGTACAAAGGTTGAAGTACAAGATTAAGGTAACATTTCTTACTATTTAATTTTGTAAACATGATTACAATTTGTTACCTCAAATTTGACAAATTATTTATCTTTCAGTATTCTAAAAGTAACTGGAGTAAAAGTATTGCCATCATAAAATTGTCAAAGTTAAAGGTATTTAGGTTAAATTGCTTACAACCTTTATATTTGGGATTGTGCATTATAGTTAGACTTCTTATTTTATCATCATTGCTTGCAGATTAACCATGAAAATCTAAAGCATCAAGTGCAAGCAAATGGGTGGCAAGCATGGCTTTGATTTCACACGTATCTGATGCCAATGTATTTCTGTTTGGAAGTAATCCATCTATATTTTCAAGCATGGAAGAACCATTGGTGTTGCTGTGAACGTACACAACTAAATCTCATGGCCTGCACAGCCTGCACAGCCTGCACTTGCAGAGAACCATTTGCACAATTATTGCCTTATTTGTTGTTCATTACTGTGATAGAACCCATTTTATTCCTGTTCTTGGTAATTCATATCATTTGATGTCTTAGAGATCATTGTGTTTGTGGACAGATGTTGTCTAAATTTATTCATTAAAACCCAATTTAACTTCAAAATTGTAGTTTTCCTTCATGAATTTTTCTCTGTGAATGTTGGTAACGCAAGTTACGCAACAAATAAAAGGAATAAGTTGATTTTCATCTTTTCATATCTTTGCAGAACCAAAGAAGAAAAATACAGAAATCAGGTTGTTCAAAATTTAAATTAATGTTGTTCTTTGCTTTAATAGTTTTAGTTAGCCTTTTAATACTTTTTGTTTACATTTAAAGCTATAATTAGATACTCAATTTGATTTCTTATTCGCATGGGAAGAAGGATCAATGAAATTGGCAGTGTTCCAATTAATCCAACCAGTTCTTCAGTTTTGCTTCTTCATTGTTTATACAAATAGATGGTGATGAATTTTAGGGTGAATTTTTTTCTCAAAACAGATTCTTTTCCTAAAATCGAAATTTTTATTGGGTTAGTAATTCATGTTTTCAATTTTCATTCTCTCTCCATTTTCAGTTTTAATCACATATTTGCATTCAATTAATTTTTACGCAATTCTTTGGAGATGATTGAAAATAATGAGAAATTGTTGTGATGGACACACACCCACAATTTATAAAATAACCACTTAAGAAATATAAGAATATTTAAAATAACACATTTGTGGGGCGCATAGCGCCCGTGATGCAAAAATACCTCTCGCACGTACGTTAGTGCTTGCAGAGAGGCTAGTTTTATATAAATACCAAGCCCAAACTAAAAATTTATATAAAAAAATTTCAAGCCCAAAGTAATTGCCTCAACCCATCCATTCCACCATAGCCGGCAGTTCACATTCCAATTTTCATCCCCCTCTCTCCTATCTTATTTTCCACATTTATCTATATGCATTATGTACATTTTTATTTCATTTTAGGATGTACACTTTGGTCATGATACGAAGCTTTTTATCTTTTGATTTATATTTATACGTAAACAAAAGTGAAATAGGGAGAGCAACATATATTCCATCCAATTTGCACATGTGTGAGTAATCTCCCATACAATTTTTACTATTTTTCCTTTAAAACAACAACGAAGATAAAATGGGAAAACATAAACTATTAAAAAAATCTGAAAATATGACATGTAATTTCATTTCTAGATACATGTTGATAACATTTAATGTCCTTAAAATAGAAGACAATATATATTTTTTCTATATTTTTCATAGTTCTACATTAATTATAAAACTATTAAATACTTTACTTAAACAATAGTCATAGGATAAATTAGAAGAGAATGCTAATGTAGAAAGCCTCATTGAAAATATCATCAATATAACTCTTGAAGACAATATATCAAGCCAAAGTTCCAATACCGTTTCTCATGGTGATTGATGAAAATTGAAAAGTTTGATTGTAAGAAAATG